TTCATTTTTTAATGATTTTATTAATATGGGTTGGGTTTAAGTCTGACATCTTTGCTTTCTATTTGTCACATTTCTTCTTTTCTTTTACCTTCTGCTTTTTTGGGGGGGGGATTGCGTGCTTTTTTTTTAAAGTTTTTATGATTCCACCTGATGCCTTTTATTTTCTTTCCCATGATAAGTCTGTGTTAGTGTTTTGTAAAAAAGTCATATAGTATACATCTTTATGCAATAGACCTTTAAGTAATACCATATAAAACCATACACTATATAAGAACTTTATAATGATTTATTTTTATTTATCTAGTCCAAGTTTTGGTGCTGTTACTGTCATCCATTTCACTTTCACATATACTGTTGATCTTTGAGCAACATGGGGGTTAGGGTCACCAACACCCCTGCACAGCTGAAAAGCCACATATAACTTTTGACTCCCCAACAACTTAGCTACCAACTTTACTACTATTGACGAAGCCTTACCAATAACATAAATAGTTGATTAACACATATTTTATATATGTTTTGCATACTATATTCTTGCAATAAATTAAGCTAGAAAAAAGTAAATGTTTTTCCAAATGTCACAATCTCCAAAACTTTTCCAAAATATTTACTGAAAGAAATTCACATGTAAGTGGACCTATTCAGTTCAAACACATGTTGTTCAATGGTCAACTCCATTATAACTTCCACAATTATCATTATTTTTTGTGTTTAAACATTAGATTATATTTTAAAGAGATTTTTAAATTGAAATTTTAAAAAAATATTTACCCACTTATTTACTATTTCTGGTGTTCGTCAGGGTTTTTTTGTTTGTTTTTGTACATTCATATTTCCATCTGGTATTTTTCTTCTGGTTACAGGATTTTCTTTAACATTTCTTGTATTACAGGTTTGCTTGCGATGAATTATTTTGGCTTTTGTATATCTGAAAATGTTTTTATTTTGCTTTAACATTTGAAAGATATTTTTCTTGCATTAATGTGTTTTTTTTTCATTACCTTAAAGATATTAATCCACAGTCTTCTGGCTTACATTGTCCCTTAAAGGAAATCTGCTGTTACTCTTACTAGGAATATACCTAACACAGGCATTATTACTTATTAAAGCTGTGTAGGCATGTAAAGAATAAGATCATACATAGGTATCAGAAGATTCGATGGACATAAGAAACATGCAAAACTTCACATAGTAGAATATCAAACAGATTAAAATGGTAAAGTATCAGACTAAGAATGAGAAGAAATCACATTTGTAAATTCTAACAGTAAACTGAAACTGTACGGACTCACATCAGATTGGAAAAGAACTGAATAGAAATTTCAGACATAAAAATACAATAATCAAAGTGAAGAACTCAGTGGATGGTCTTAGCAGCAACATGGTACAGCCAAAGAAAGTATTAGTGAACTGGACAATAGTTAGTAAGGAATTATGAAGACTGCAGGTAGAAAGACAAAAAAAGATGGAACATAGATAAAAATGTAGAAAATACAGCTTGTTGG